TTTTTTTTTTGTTTTGTCTTGTTATGTTTTGATGTATTTTCCATGTCATGATGATTACAAAGAGACACCCTTCAGCCTTCAGTCTGAAGTGAAAGGAAAAAAATGTGTTTCTTTAATTAAATTATACATATTGTTTTTGGTTTTACAGAATGCACCCTTTAGAAGGATTGTCTATTCTCAAGGGTGCACTCATATTTTTTTTTTTACTATAGTTAGATTCTTTTGTGATTGGTTGAAGTTTTTCATATTTTTTTTTTGTACTTCCTTTTCGAGGCACAATAGTACATCAATTAGATCATTTCAACTTGCCAAATATAGTTCAACTCAACTCACTCAATTTACATCATCCGTATTTTAATGACAGGGGTCGAGACCACCAGGCATTTCTTGCTGGAATGGCTTAGCTACACTTGCAGATATATTCCAGTTGGTCTCTTAGACATTATCCCTCAAAAGATAAATTGGAGGCCACCCTCATATTTTGGTCGTGACGATCTTGAAACATTAATGGCATCCGACTCCGCAGCTGATTGGGTATATCAATGACTAGTTTTGAAATCGAGCCAATTCTTCGTGTTGAAAAAAAAAAAAAACTTTAAATTCTATGGACCATAAATTTGTCTTTGCTTTTGGTGCAGATAAGGATATCCGAGATGTTGCTTGGCAAGGTGCCTTCTGGTTTCACATTTGCTCCCAAACACAAGTCAAATGCATATGACAGAGCCGAAAACGGCTAAAATGAGGCACGCCCGATTCTTCTGTGAAAAGAATTGTGTAGGAGTGAGAAGTTTCTGGTTTAAAGAGGGGAAAGTGTGGGTTATTGATACTTGGTTGCTCGTATTTTTCAGACTCGACATATTTGAAGACATCCAATTGATTGTGGTATGTGGAGCGTGGAACAACTATCGGAGTTTACTCTGAATTGTTTCTTATCATAGAGTAGTTATAAAAGCTTCATTACACCTCTGGTATGTGTTTTATTTAATTCCTGGATAACACGTGGTTTTCATTTTTATGCTATAAAACCATATAAATGGAGCTTTATTATCTTTAGATGAACATGTATGAGACCAAATAAACGGCAATATATTTGCTAAATAAACAATAACCATGAACATGTATGAGACCAAAATCGCAACATTCATTTTCTATGCGACCATAATCGCCCAACTACGTTATTATTAACCATGATTAGAATTAAAATAAACCACAACAAAATTGTCCTACCGAGCACCTAAAAGGTCACCCAAAACATAACTAGAAACAAAAAATGAGAAAAATAACAACATGCCTTCATTTCTAATCTCCCATCACCACAACAAAACCCTTCAATCTCAAGGTGTTAACTCCATCCATAGCCATACACTTTCCACCACACCAATAACATAAATAAAAACCCCACCAAACAAAACAAAATTATGGGTCAAAACACAAAACAAATCAAAACAAAACAAAACCAAACAATACCTTAAGCAGATAATTTAACCCCTTCATCCCATCCCATCTTCCCAACCTCCACAATCTTCTTCTTGTTCAAAACCAAACCTCCATCAATACTCTCCATGCTCCCACTCAACCCATCATCCACAAAATCACCCACCCTCTTCACTTTCCCACTCGGCTCGACCGGATAATTCCCCGAAAAACACGCATAACAGAAGTTATTCGCATCCTTCCCCAATAGCCCCTTCAAGCTATCGATCGGCAAGAACGCAAGTGTATCCGACCCAATGAACTGCCTTATCTCCTCCACACTCATCCTATTCGAGATCAACTCCTCTGTGCTCGGTGTATCTACACCATAATAGCACGACCCGATTATCGGTGGACTAGCAATCCTCATGTGGACCTCTTTAGCACCCGCCTCTTTCAAAAGCCGCACGATTTTTGAGCTCGTGGTACCCCTCACAATCGAGTCGTCCACAACCACCACTCGCTTTCCTTCCAAGACCGCACGCACAGGAGATAACTTCAATTTCACCCCAAAATCCCGAATTTTTTGAGAGGGCTCGATAAATGTCCTCCCGACATAATGGGACCGTATAAGCCCTTGTTGAAAAGGGACTCCGGCTTTAGCGGCATACCCCAATGCTGCAACAACTCCCGAATCGGGCACGGCAATCACAACATCACATTCGACGGGCGCTTCGGTAGCCAAGATTTCGCCAAAGGCACGCCTCGATTCGTAGACGGATCGACCGAAAACGACCGAATTAGGCAAGGCAAAGTAGATATGCTCGAAAATGCAAGATTTGGGCTCGGGATGTGGCATCAAGCAAACGGACCCAACTCCTTCTTTGTCTACGACGATAACTTCACCGGGATACACTTCCCGTTCGTAAGTGGCCTCGATTAAATCCAATGCACAAGTTTCCGAAGCAAAAACCACGGCCCCATTGCTCCTCCTACCCATCACCAAAGGTCTGAACCCAAAAGGGTCCCTAACAGCTACGAGTTTATCCTCGGTCAAGAAAACCATTGAATAAGCCCCTTTAAGCTTCTCGCAGGCCTCGATGATTCTGGTGAAAAAAGGCCGTGCCTTGGAGATGGCGATTAGGTGCAGGACAACTTCTGTGTCGGAGCTCGTGTTGAAGATGGACCCACTCTCCTCGAGCTCAGCGCGCAGGGACTGATAATTTACCAAATTACCATTGTGGGCTACGCCCACTGAGCCGAATCTGTAGCCGGCGACAAAGGGCTGGACGTTTTTGAGCATGGAGGAGCCGGCGGTAGAGTACCTGACGTGGCCTATGGCGTTTTCGCCGGGCAATTTGTCCAGCTTGGACTGATTGAAGACCTCAGAGACGAGGCCGACGCCGGTGACCGACTGGAGGACGCCTTCGTGCACCGAAACGATGCCGGCGCCCTCCTGGCCGCGGTGCTGGAGGGCGTGAAGAGCTAAATAGCAGAGGCGGGAAGCCTCCGGGTCGCCGTAGATGCCCACCACGCCACACTCCTCGCGAGGCTTTTCGTCGTCGTCGGGGGAGAACATCGGGTCGTCGTGGATCGAGGCCGTCGGCTTTTTGTGGGTTGAGATGACATCTGAGATAGGGTTTTTCGAGAGGGTGACGTAGAGGGGCTTCTGTAGGGTTTTGACGGAGGAGAACGGCCTGGAGGATGCCGGTGGCACGAGGAGGGCAGCGGAGGAGGTGGGGTACGATGAGGCAGCCACCACGGCGGTCGAGGAGGCGGCGGCGGCGGTGGCCATGGCGGTGTTTGAGGATATATGGAATTGAGGACTTATTAGGTTTTGATTTCGGTGGGTTTTTTTTTTGTGTGTTTTATTTTTTGGGAAAGTGCGGCGAGTGATAGAAGATTTCGGTAGGGCGTACGGGTCGGTGTTTGACTGTGAGTGACGTGGAGGGTTATGATTGGTCTGTGATGATTTGAGGGGAAAATGGGGGAAAAGAAGTACAGATGAAATCTTTCTTACTCGTGGTTGATGTGACTTGGTCGTGTGCTCCTTATTCTTTTTTTACCTCTTTTATATTAATGTTGATTTTAGTTTTAGGTTTTAGCACATGAAAAAAGGAAAATCGAGTTGGGCTTGAAAAATAAAGGTTTTACATATTTTTCAACTCGATTATCAAGATTAACAAGCCTAGCTCGAGCTCGTTCAGTTAACAACTCGACTCATGAAATACTCGAGCTTGCACTCGAATACAGGAGCTCAAGTTCGGCACGATTCGATTATAGCTCTAGGCTAATTGCTAAACACAATCAAAATTACAAGCATCTAATCCAAAAGCGCTAAATTCATAAGAGTGCTACGCCTACACGTATAAAATCTAGAGAACAAAAAATGAAAGGTGGGAATAATGGATCAATTCACATTCCACAAAGCAAATAAGCAATATACGCCGATCGTGTGTGATAGAGTGGTCCCGGTGCATATGAACCAAACAACTGGGTGTCAAACATATGGACCAACAATTACAGGGAATATCTCGCACCCTTTTAGAAGAGAGAATCTAATCCAAGCATCATATGAGGGCCCATATTCCCCAAATGAATCTAATCCAAGCATCATAAAAGTTGAATGATAAGATAGATATATCTACCTTTGTATATTTGCTGATACTATGCCATCCATTTCACAACAAGAGTTTCAAAGGGGGACACGAAAATATCAGCGCACGAGACGCATTTCCAACAATTGTTAAACAAAAACTCGTCAAAGTTCAAAATAGCAAACTACATAAAATCTCCATATTCAGAAAGAGTTATTATGGATCTCAAAGCCGGCTGTTTGGTTCTCTCTTTTGAAAAGAGAGAACTTATTCTTAACCGAGCGTATGGAGAGACGTACAATTTCCCACATCGATGAATTTCAAATATAGTTATGGCGGGTAGCGTGGGAAAATGGGTGAATAAAAGGGAAAAGAAAATGATAAGGAGCATCATAATTGCTTAATTTTGGCATTTTTTTGGGAGTTTTTTTAAATCACCAGGAATATTTGCAAGCAGTTCTTGCCCGAGCACACGTCAACCTGTTCTCATGATAATGTGAACACCGCTATCAGTGTCGACAATGTCACTGATTTCGCCGACCTTCAAACCGAACGCGGCTTCTTCAAATGGTTTCTGCATTTGACCACGGCCAAAAGGACCTAAAATGGACAAACAGAAAAAATATTTATAGCAAGTATCTAATAATGAGACTCGGTTGATAAATACAATATACATACATAAATGAAGGGATTTAATTTATATAAGCTTATCAGCCAGTTGAAGCTTACTGACAATAGTAAAGATTAAAATTAAATGAAACAGGGGATGTGGGTCTCTTTCACAGATAACAAACTTCTAATGTGAAGTTCATTTACATTTTCCTATTCTAAATGAAAAGGAAACGAAAATCTAATCCATATAGTTTCCTAAACAAAAGGACAAACATGAAATTGAGATGATGTAGCGAGCCATGAAAAATACTGAACCCAGAAAGAGAGAATAACTATGTACATTAAAGTGGCATTAAAAGTGAAGTACAGTGTTAAAAGAGAAACTTATGCAAACTTAGCCATGAAATTCAGAAAGTGAAATAGCTCGAACTCAGTTTGTTTTTCCACTAACAGGGAGCTGTGAATGACAAAGATGTGTAAGGATGGATTGGCACAAAGTGAGAGAAAAATTATATAGCCGAACATAAAGTACTCCTGTATCATAATATTATTAGTAAATAAGAGAAGAAGCTTGTTGCTATCAGCAAGCAGGACATTTGCGCATAAACATGTGTGTGTCACTGAAGCATATATAACTTCCATATAAAATTAATACCAAAAAATCATGGTACATTACATGTTGGAGTCCCCAATTCAGCATTCTGTTAACCAATCTAGCAGGTAAAGTATCGACCTCGGGCTCGGGGATGTCAAATATGGATTCACAAACTCCCATTTCTAGTGGACTTTGATTCTTATCATGGTATGGCCCCTACCGGTCCTTCACTTTCTAATCATTCGCGAGTTGAACTCGCTCTCTTGCAGAAAGCTTATTCACATAAACTATTTAGGATTCTGCCAAAAATCTCTATTTTCATCTGAAGGTCCAGAAAGCCTATTCACAAAAATCTGTTGCTGGCAGCACTTAATAAGACCAGAACTGCTATTGATCCACCACAGACAGTGGATATCTACAGAACATCTAAGATTCAGATGTCAGTACGAACAAGATGGATGAGAAACTAAACCGGGACATTATATAACATGATTGTTCAAAAAAGTTCTATAATTAATTTCCGGAAATCATATTTATAGTGTTGTAATGACAAAAGAATTCATCCTTAAGTGACAAAATCGTTGCTATTTTAGCTGCAGATCTTTACCATATGAGGTCACATTCTTTACTTTTAGTGGCATACCCAGAGTTCCTTACAATCTGATCGAAATTCATCACAATTTTAGATGAAAGCTCGCATACACCAAATACATAATGTTACATAACTACATATAAGCTCGTAACTCATTAGTTTACTCTCAAATTCCATTATTCGATCAACTCAAGACTAACTGTAAACTCCAACCATATGAACTTTAAGCATAGTCGAGCAAATTTTAGATTATAGAAGCAAATCAAGCATAAAAACCACTGCATTGAAATTCTAGTTTCCTCTCTATAGAGCAATCTAGGGTAATGTTTTCATGATTGATTGCCCAACGTGAATCATATCATTGCATCAAATCTTCAAGCAAAATCATAAGATCATCGGGTCATTTCAAAGAATTCCAGAAAGAACTACAGTATAAATGTAAAATAAAGGTTTAAGGGGAAAA